ATGGCGCCGTTGGTCTTTACAGCTACGATTATACGGGCCGTAAAAGTGAAGGCAACGGAGGCAACGAGAAATTTTATTTCAACCGAGCAATACACGTCGCGTTTTATCCGTGCAATTTGACGTCGTCATATGTAATATCTATGTATTAAAGACGTTTACGCGTTTACGCAAAATGCGTATTATGTGATATAAAGAAAATTTAAGCAAACGATTTATAGGGATATATTAAAAAATTTTGAAACACTTGTTTTTATTTTGCTTTAAATATAAATTTAATATTGATATAAATTATAATATACATCAGTATGTTAATATAAATTAATGTATTAACATATATTCAAATGTAGGTAATTATAAATTTTTTTATTTGCATTTGTGGTATACTCGTGATATGTAAAATGTAATGAGCAATAAAACACATAATAAACATAATAACGTATAAACAATAAAACACGTGAAATTTATCGGCGTATAATTGTGAGAACAATAAGAGATTTAATTTTATTTAGCTTTTGAATTTCTATAAAATATCTCAAATTTAATTAATTAAAGTTATGTAATGTTCTTTATTATATTGTATCTATTATATTATTATTACAATAGAAAACATATTAAATTATTCATTAGTAAAGGTTTTATCAGAACATTTTTACAACTAAAAATTGAAAGAAATAAAGCATTTAATAAAAGAATAAAGTACTATATAGGAATCACACACACAAAAATTAAATTAAATAATTTATAGCTTTATTCACTTTTATCTACAGTACCATTATCGATGTGTAAACGAACAATGTCACATCGCGTGATAATTTACATTTTACATCATAATAATTTATGTCTTCCTCTTTAATACGATACGATTAATAATAATATAATTTTGAGTATATACCCGTCTATTTTGCGTTTAAAAGATATATTACATATACATCGTTGTACTCATTGTACGTATAATTAGCATGGAAATCTTACAATTAGTTCTGCAATACGACGAATAGTCAAAGTTTAGCGAAGATATGAACAAAAGTTTCTGAAATTCCATTTTAAATACGATTGATAAATTAAATATATACAGTTAATACAGTTGCGCATAAATAGATCAAATGAAATATGTGTTGTCGTAAACGTTAAATAAAAAGCCTTGCATTTACATCAAATTATCGATAAATTAGTGAAAAGGCACAAGAAATTCCTATATAAAAGTCAGTCTTAACAAAGAATAAAGTAATACATTGCATACAACCATAAGTAGGTAACAAAATGTTTCTTTATCTCTGATATTATAAAACAATCCAATTTAAGTTATTGAACGAGTGAAAAGATTGCATATAAAAAAAAACCTACGCTCGTCGTGTAATTAGGCATTGCAACAAAGTGTAATCATTCCCTCTATAATTTAATTGGAAGTGGTTACATAACAGGATAGCCATATAATTTCTTGTTTTTTTTTCTATATTTTCGTTTTCGCGCAGGTTTGATTAAAATTTTCGAAATTTATCCTATAGAGAATATTAAGACACATCGACGATCGAACAATTATATTATACTCGGACACGCGCGATTATTATATCTATGATAGCGGGAACGTAATAGGGACAAAATAACCATCAGATGTGCTGCTGTATTTTTTTACATATATCTAAGCATCTTCCTCTCTATTTATCATAAATATTTTATTTATTCTACCGTTTACTGACGTATAAATCCATTCAATTTATCGGAACAGCGCGTCGTCGATCACTGCGTAAATCATAACGCGGAGAGATCATGCAGAGAACATTGTGACGCTTTAAACAATCATAGCGCTCTCGTGAGAAGAATATATTACACATTAATATGTCACACGCCATTGTGCATTATTACATTACGAAGATATATATACACGCGGTAGTTTCGTTCAGTTTTTATTATATTATACACACATAAATGCGTATGTACACGTATACTTTGAGCGTATTATTTTCCACATAGGCTGTTCGATGGCTGGTTAGATACCTCTTATTCTGGTGCCTTGAAACGTAAAAGAATATTTATTTTTTTCCTTTGGAGCTGACGTAAAAATCTGTAACAACGTCATTACTGACGCTAAGTTTGAAAGATTCATTTAATTTACATTAATTAAAAGGCTAATTGATTTTAAGGAACTAAAAGGACATAAAAGTACAAAAAAGAATAAATATTGATTGTAAGTATATTTGAATGAGAATAATCCGCAGATGTAACATAAAAAAATTAAACTATTTGATTTTTTTGACAGTGGATACAATAGATCCACCACCAGCTCTAAAGGGTTAAGATAATATAAAAAATACACAGAAAATTAATTGATTACAATATATGCACACAATATATGCAAACCACAAAGAGAACTGCTTAAAAATTAAAATTTTTTTCCTCATAAAATGTGTTATCTTTTTATTCATATATGCAGGGTACCCCAGAATTCAATATATACCTTAAGGTCAATCAACTGATTTTAATAACATATTCAAGCAGCTTTAAAATATACAAGAAGGAATAGTTCATATATTCCAGGCAAGCAAATAAAATGTATGTCAAAAGCAGACGAGGATAAAAGGTATCTTTAACAATCGATCGAGCCCGAAAAATAAAAATCTATCTAATCTGATTAATAAATCGCACAAGTAGCAGGAAACATATATATTATTATCGCACTTCAAATGTTCCTCTTAATACTGATATCAATGTTTATGCCACTATTGACGCATACACAGTTATTTTAGACTACTTTACGACTATTTTTGACTTAAGCAGTTTTCTAAGTCTAATTTCTGTGAAAAGAAGAGTTATATATATAATAAAAGAAGATAGTTATAAATGATGATCATTTTAACGTTCTTTTACATCATCGTAATCAAGAAAATAAGCTCTGAATTACAGTTAGATCCATGCTAGCTAATACGATTATTGCAAGAATGCAATACAATCTATTTTACTGTAAAAAAATAGCTTCAAGTAAATAATTTATATATCTCTGAGATAAGAACTATTTCATTAAACATCTGAATTATATATTACTTTACATATAAGTTTTAACTTGAACTATTTATATTTATTTATTTAATTTATTTTAGAAATGCGTGCAATTACATGATTTTGGTCTTTTTCTTGAAATTTATTCTTGTTCCTGAAAAAAGCTTTTTGAATTTACATATCTTTTAGGTTACATATATCTAATTGGAAAAAATAAATAATGTATAATAGTATGATATGTTAACATTACATATAAATGTTAAGATATTCATTTATAAATTTTGAACGAAATATAATAGATAAATTACACAGTTTTCTTGATCGTAGTGCTTAATATATATATAAAATTGTTAATATTATTTAGCACATTTTCGAATAAAGAAAAACATTTAAGTAATTTTTAAGCTCAGAAAAAATATAATTGCACAATGTGAATTCACGATAGTTAATAGAATAGTTAGCATTGCGCGTTTGAATCTATATATTAAGAAAAAAAACCTAGCTTTATCAGTCCTTTGTTATTGGACGGTGCGAGGAAGTTATAGGAGATCCATCGCAGGTAATATTATGAAAAAGTAGCTCTTTTTGTTGTTTTTGTATGCTTTTACATAATTTTTATTTTCTACAAGATTGAACCTCCTTTTTTCTCCTATCCTTTCTTCCTTTCTTTTATTCTCTCTCTATACTTATTACGCAATAAAGTACGATAATTCTATGATAGTATTTCAGACAATCTTTTCTTTAAAGTTTAAACTACGGCTAATTTGTAATTTATATAAAGTTGATTCTTTGTTTAAAGAAATTTTATTAAAATTAATGTGAAAATTTTTTAGCGAACTTTGGCTTAAAACTTAAATTTCTTGTACATTACTTAAAAACTTCCTAAAAGCATTTTAAAAAGTCAATATCAAATATTAGAAATATTTGTATAACTATTTCCTAAATTGAAATTATTTATCAATACATACATCATTTGAACATAACAATAACCAATAACTAATAAAACTTTGTCATTTATTTATAACCTTCAAGTTTAATTTATAAGAAATTGAACTACATTGAATTTCTAATATATCATAATTTGGAATAAATAATGACTTACAATTAGTCATAAATGCGAAATAAACGACGTTTTTTTTATTTTATTTCTTTAGTACTTATAGCTTTTGATAATAATAATAATAGTTCTGACAATGAGATACAATGAAATATATACGTCCAAACATATTGTATGTCTACACTTATTTCATTTTTAATAAATTTCAACAAAATTATATAATTACTGACTGCTTCTAATCAAATTGAAAGGCTTTACAGTAGAATTATAATATAAATACTTTTATTTTCGCTACAATAGATAAAATAAAATTGTCATGTTACGTAAAATTTTGTAGTATGAGATCATCCATTTATATAAATAATCGATATACTTTACATATATAGTTAAAGAGATGTCAATTCAAGACTGTTAACTGGATTATCAGTTAATCTTATTTCTAAATTAAAATAATTGTTACGTTATCAAGTTGATAGTCGCGCATTGTTAGAAGTACCTTATACATTTTTGCCTAAATTTCTGTAATCCGTGAAAATTGATCTTTGCAGAAAAGATATAAAAAAGCAATACATTAAAGCACATATCATTCATAAAGCACAAAAGCGAAAACTTTTCAATAATAAAAAAGTTCTTGCAATCGCGTGTTATTTGGTTCTCCCTTTTTTTGGAAAAATTATGTAGGAAAATTTGGAATTGATATTTGGCTTGCATAATTTTTTCAAATTGCATATATTTGGTCATTATGTACTTTTAAATAAAATTTTCCGGAATATAAATAATTCATTTTTCTGAATTATTCATAAGAAATTTACGTTTTTTAAGTAATAAATATAACCGATTCAATCACTAGCATAAGCGAGTTAGTTATACTACATCTGTTCCGAATATCGGTCTAAAATATCAATCTACGAAGAAATGTATGCGCTTGAATTTTTGAAAGTCACGATTTTTAAACTAGGGAGACCATAACGCGTTTTCGCGACGTAGAGTGTAACATAGTAAAGTGTCCGCTTCTGCGAGAGGAATGGGCCGTCAAGGATGTCGTCACGGTCGTTCTCGTACTGCTGGTCGTCGTCCCGGTACCGAAGCAGTGTTGCGAATTCGTCGGGCACCAACCCGAAATCCAGGAGATTGCCTGCATGTTCCTACCGAGCAACAATTGCTGTTTAACGGAGAAATTCCGAGGCGAAAAGTTGCTAGGGAAACGTTGCCATCTTTGCGGACGTTGTTTTGAATTTATGAAATTTAAGGCATTAGAAAGTTTTAAGGTGAACGCACATAGAAGTAGAAGTAAGCAGTAAGCAATGAGACGTAAGACTGCCATCTTTCATATGTATAGATATACTGACAATGTTAATTACTTACTTCGTACGTCTTACTGTTTACTGCTTACTGCTTGCTACTTACTTCTACTTCTATGTGCGTTCACTTTGAAACATTTTACTTTCTATTCTGATTGTTTTTAAAAAGAATTTTACTGTTAAAATTTTGTTATAAGATCTTTATAAAAATCCTGTTTAATTCTGGTCAATTGAATGGTAAAATAATGATCATTAATTATTGTAATGATTTATTACTTATTTTGAGTATTAAAAGCATTGCTATTCAATACTTTTCGAAATTTAAGTTTACGTCTCACGTAAATATAAAAAAAGCGCTTTTAAATAAATCGCGCTTTTAGAAAGTTTTTAATAAATCCGTTTTTAAACGCAACAGGATTAATTATTGTACTATATATGAAATAATCATCAATTACGTTTAATTAATATACTCACCGTACGGTTTTGCAGAAAGGGGTACTGAAAAGGCAGTAGATGATTGGATTAGCGGCCGAATTGAGTGGTGTCAAACTTTGTATAAAGGTAGCGACTGCGATATTTGTCTGAGTCTTTCGTATGTGTCCATAAACTTGAAGAAGGTCGAAGACTATGTATGGACTCCAACAAAGGATAAATACTGAAACACAGAATTATTTTCGCTCATATTGCGTGAATCTGACAATTTATATTGTGCGTGCATAGTGCTAGTTAATTGAAATTTACAGAAATATTAGGACAAAAAACAATAATTTCATGATATATATTAATAATTGTTCATTCAATAAATTAGTTAACCTGGCAGAATGCAGCAGTAATTATAACGTCACTTTTAATGCATGCGCTGTAAATAAACACGATTGTTCGCACGATTATTCGCTTTTAATTGAGAGTAATTGTTTCTATCGTAAATTACGAGAATACTACGAAAATCCAGACAAAATGATAGTTTCAAGTTTCTGCCAATTCCATTTTATATAACAAATCTAACTTAGACTATAACGAAACGCTCCATTTATCTTTTTGCAAACACGCTTTGATCTGATTTATAGATGTGCTGGCTTCTATTTTAGAGATAGCACTCATGATTTTTTGTTCAAAAGAAAAGCTTATATGTAAAACAATAAAATCTCGAAAAGATGGAAAAAGAAAACAAAAGGAAAGAAAACAATGAGATACATCGGCATAGATTTATGCAACGAAATATAAAATACGGAATGGATTTTTTATCTGTAATATAGAGTTCAATACATTCATACAAATGAGGCAAATATGATTATGTAAAAAGAATAAATTAAATTACAAAATAAAATTAATTAATTTTATTTTGACTTTGATTAAAATAAAAATATTATGAATTCTAAAAAATGGATCATGTAAAATATTTACACTTTCATACATTTGCACTATTAATATAAAATTTTAATTTTAGAATGCGTTAAAACTATTATAAAATATTATTATTAATGTTTCCGGAGCTAACATGGATCTATTAATTAGATATCACTCAATTATAAATAGCTTTGTTCAAAAATATCAAATAATTCAGTTTTTTTAAGTTACATCAATATTATTCTTATTAAAGTATACTTATAATTAGTATTCATTTTTTATGCTATTTTGATTACTTGTAATTAATGTTTTTTAATAAACATAAATTAAATGGATTTTACAAACCCAGCAATAGCAGTTAGGATAGAATAAGACAATTCCGAATATAGGGTAAATACGAACGATATTATTGCAATAATATATTAAAATATAGAAATAACCTCTCTTATTTCTCGAATTCAATGATAATCAATATACGTTTAATATTTTATTATTACACGTGACCATAGAACGCACTCATCGTTTAAGATAAATATTATTGTTTTCAACTATTTTGATATAAGAGAAAATAGGAAAATTGCGAATACCTAAGGGAAAATTTAAATATATCCAACGGTTATTTATCAATTATAGAAGTCTTTATTAAAAACATATTATAGCTTTAAACTACAGTATAATTAACATTCATAAATTATTTATGTAAACTAAAATTTTAAACAAGAAACAAACCTGATTGCACAGCATTGCTTCGCTTGGCGACACGGCGTAATTGCGAACGGTAAGGTTTTGATCGTTTTTTACAATTTTAGTTTACATTATATATACATATATATAATATTATATATATAATATATGAATGTTAATTATTGTAGTTTAAAATAATTGGAGTATTTTTTTAATAAAAATTTTTATTATTTGATAAATAACCATGGTTTTACATATTTAATTTTTCACCGATATTCGCAGTTCGCCATTTTGAATATGTTATAGATTTTGGCGTCAGCTCCAGAGGATTATGATATTTATAATAATTTGATTGTAGTATAAAATTAAATTTCTATGTTAACTTTATGAATATGTGAAAACGCAAATTGGATTTTTAACTTTAAATGATCTCTAAAATATTAAAATCCTATTAAAATTTTATATATCGTATACATATATGTATACATTAATCTCCAAAATTCTCTGATAGTACTTCGGAGATTAATTAAAAGCAATCATTTTATTATAAAAATTTCGATACATTATAATTACAAATAATAGTTTTCAAATTGCAGGCAATCAAGTTAATTATTACGTAGAGCTCTTTACGCAAAAAAATATTTTGCTGCTTCAGCTAGAATTATAGTTGGTTTTTGTATCCAATAGAAAATTATGTATCATACGCATAGAATTTATAGCACAAATCTAAATTCTATCTCTGTCATCTATATGATTAGATGCAATACATATACCTAATATCGCAGTACTTGCTAGAAATTTATCTATCCTAGCTATTTTTCGTACTTAGATAATTTTCGCTGTAACTGCAAGATCACTTTTTTGTGAATGTTATATACATGTATTATCTTAATATCTGTTATTTTCACTGTTCAGCTGATTGATGTGAACGATTATTGCTTCGATATTATGTACATTATAGCAGTTAACTAATATTATTTCTTAACAGCAAATTTTTTAACTGTTAGACGTAGATTATTTGGTCTTTTTTTTCTGATTAAGATTCTCAGTCAAATGGAATTAATTATTATCTTAACGTTATATCTAACACTGATGAATGTCGAAAATGAAGCTTGTAATGCATGACAATAGCCCGACCATTAAAATCAGTTTAATTGATACATAAAGTCCAGATTGTATATTTGCCGTTGTATTTCAAAAATACGCACCGACGAAAGTAGGGTTGGCGCGTGACCTCGGTAATTGTTTGTACTACACACACCGCGTTGTGTTTACCGCGCGCTAGGCGTACAGATTGCCGCGTCATTCGAGACTCATCAAGTGCGTGTAATAGATAAAGCCAGAAGCCGTTCCACGTGTCGTTGTTTCGTTATTCCTAGGAATCCGTTCGAAACAAATTCTATGACAAAAGGTTTTCTTGTTATGAATGATTAGCTATTGTATTATTTATTATCCACCGCGATTTAATTTTTACGATGCATAAACGTATCTAAATGTCGATTACTTTATAGATTCATAGATAGAAATCACGACGACAGAAGCTATAAAAGCTGTTTCATTACAATATGTACGAACGATAAATATATTTTTCTCTTATAGAGATTTAATATTGGAAGTGATTAATTAGTAATTACTTATTAAAAACATTATTGTTCAATCGTCATTGTTTTTAATATAATTAAAATAAGTAATTAATCGTTACCTTCCAACATTGAATGGGATTTCTATAATATAAAAGCTTGGATTTGAATACTGGCATTGCTCTTCGAACTTTCAATATTTGAAGTTTATTCGAATGTTATTTTAGGATTGAAAGTATGTTTTATCGAATCTAATGAATATATAATAAAAAGCAATAATTATTAAGTACTTGTTTTTTTCACAAAGTTCATACATTAATTTATGAAATGTGACACATGCGAGTCGTAGTTTTATATGATCGTACCTTCTTAAGGTTTTTTTTGTATTATATCGTTGCGGTACAATGATTGCATAAAAGCATAAAACTTCGTGCACGGTATTATATTTTAATAATTAATGCATGACTGTAATTTACAGTGTTATCGTGAGGGGGTGCTACAAACAAGGAACAACACCTCAAGTGAAGAGGAGGTTTGAGAAAGCATCGAATGACGGCGAAGTAACCGCATAAGGTAAATTTTAAGTACTTGCTATTATATATTACTTGTTACTTGCCGGATTTAGCCGTTATTTTCTGTTTCTTGTTAATTAACCGATTATTTGGATAGCTCACGAATAAGAATTAAAGGGAAAAAGACTTTTATCTATAAAGAAATTATATATGTAACAATTTATACTTAAAAGAAAAAAAGACATTTTTTTTTAAATTACATAATTACTTTATATTAAATATCTATTTGAGAAAGATGAACAAAAAATTCAATGCAAGCAATTATTACTTTTTAACAGTATAAATTTTTTGGAATATTACAGTTTATATTTTATATTTGCATTTTACAGATCAACGCAGTTTAAACTTCGCCACTACGATTGAGGTATGAGTAAGTAAAATAATTTTTTAATTGAAATAATGGATCTATGAAAAAATTTTTTAGATATTTATATAGACATATATATTAACTTTAGAATATAAATGTTACCAACAAATGTGTAGCTCATAGATTCAGTATATGTATTCAAATGAATGGGCTAGGATAGATCAATATTATCATTTAATCCTGGAATGCGTGTACATTTATCTGTAGATTTATTGTGTATATCCTTCCCCGGTATGCACTTGCACACATACCAGCTCATTATATCAATTCATAATTCAACGATGCATTTATTGACACATTCTGTATCTTATGATACAGAATATTAATTATACACCAGTCGTCTCAAATTTATGGGATAAACTCGCAAGCGTGCATATAAAAATATTAGGAAATATTCCACATAAATAAGTTTAGCAGACAGTAAATAAACGATAATAAAGTATTATTTGTACAAAAAAGAAATTTTTAAGTTAAATAAAGATGTAATATCTATTGTACTTTTTACCAAACAAATTACACACAGAAAAAGTTTTAGGAAATGTAATTAACGGATATCATAAACACACACACACACATATCATAAAATTATTTAAACAATTTTTTAATATCAAATATAGTACAAATAATTAATTTTTCGAATTTATTGAAAAATAAACGAGAAGGATAAAAAATACAATATTATAGTAAGAAAATTGCTATAATATAATTTTTAAAAATATAGAAAGATATATTTTTCTTCAAACTTCTTTATATCTAATAGATATAGAAATAATCAATTGTTTTCTTTATATGTACGATAATTGTGTAAATCAAAATTAATTGATATAAATGATTCAATAATGAAAAGAAATTGGCATTGACAAAACAAGGTACGGAAAAGTTAGATTTTATTAGCTGTGTTGGTTTATTTATCTTCCTAAATATTTGAAAAATAGAATTCTAAAATGTGTGTTTATTCTCCACTTTTTGCAGAATTAAATGTTGTATAAACTAGTAGAGAAAAGTACCTAATCTATTTATTATATATATATATATATATATAGAAATTTTTTCATAGTGCATACATCAACAAAAGAAGGACAACAAATATTTCATAACCACGTGTATTAAATTTTAACTATTTTATTTATTAAAATCAACGCACTAATACTAACTGTGTTCGTTTTTATATTGTATCAAAGCTAACTTAGTATTTCATAGCCCAGCCATCCATGTTAGCTCAATAGTAATAACTTTTATTTATTTAGATAAGCTACACGTAAAAAATTAAAAATCAATTCAATAATGAAAACCAATATTATCGGAGAAAATAATATGATAGCAAGAGATAGTACGTGTGCTATCATTGACGAACTTAAATGGAATAGCTTATAATTTGAAAATTACTATTGCGAATGTGATAATTTTTCTATTAAGAGATTTTTTGTTCTATACTTAATTTTTAAAATACTTTAACTAATCTAATAAATCTATTAGATAAATTTTTAGTATTATGTATTGTAAGACATACTCTATATAAATAATATAAATAATTCTAGAGTCATACAAAAATTAATATTTAAGAAGTGGTGTTTTAGAGGAAAACAATTAGATTCAAACATTTCGCTGCTTCAATGAATCAATAAAAAGTAATTGTATTTATCTGCAAATATTTTTTATATCAATGGTTATAAAAATATATATACATTAAATTATTTGTTATCGACTTGTACATTATGGCGTTTGAATCTTATAAAAGCTCTAATCTTTTCTAAATCTCCTTTTTTTTTTAGGACATCTTCATTTAGTTTTTTCGATATATTAACGAACTACTTGTCATTTATTTTTGTGATTCGTTAATATATCGAAAAAACCAAATAAAGCTTTCTCAAAAGAAAAGGAGATTTAGAAAAGATTAGAGCTTTCGCAAAGTTCAAACGTTTTACCGCCATAGTATACGAATTGATAAAAAATAATCAATATATATATATTTTTATAACCATTGATGTAAAAAGCATTTGCAGATGAATACATCACTTTTTATTAATTCATTGCTAAAGCAACAAAATGTTTGAGTCTAATAATTTTTTTCTGAAATATTATTTTTTAAATATTATTTTTTTTGTATAACTATAAAATTATTTATATTATTTATATTGAAATGTTATTTATTTTTAATTACCAAATAAATAATATTTCAATATGACAAAACAAAGCATTTATGGATTATAATATCAAGATACTTTTAATAACAGCATAAAGCACTTAATAACTTATTAGGAATTAAAATTAATTATGAACGAAGAATTTTTGATCTTTTTCTCTATTTAAAGTTGAAAAGCCAAACATCTGTCTTGTATAATTTCGTTAAGAAAAAGTCAATTTTAAATTTATCTTATTATAAGTTGTTAGGAAGCTTCATATTAATAGATATTATTCGAGGACAGAATATATAGCTTTTTTCCTTTTTCAATACATCTGTGACCAAAAAGAAAATTAAAAATTGCTCTTGTAATATCGATATTGGAAAAACTACAGAGAAAAGTCGTCAAACGTGAAAAAACTGGGTGAACATCTGACGCACACAGAGTAGGATAACTTTTTTTAAAATAGAAAAACAGTTTCAAACAGCCTACGGCTAATTCATTTCTCGTTTGAGAATATTTATGTGAATTCTGTTATTCCAATAGTTATTGTTAATGCATTAATAGTTTATAAAAAGTAGAATAACGATGTAATTGTAAAATTCGTTAATGTGTAGTTTCATTATATTATTGCTAGTTTGAATGAAAGATTCGTAACGACTGTAGTAGCAAATAATATAAAAAAAGTCTCTTTGGAAAATTTTTACAAGTTGTATACAAAACGTAATTCGAAGAAATCTTTTAATCTCTCTCTGTTCTTTTAGCTCTTTTAAATCGCTTTGTGAATATAAGAACATAATGTTATTTTTCGTAAATTATAAAGGAGGTTATTTAAATTAAGTTAGAAAAATTAAATATTTGTACGTGAAATAAGAAACATCTAATATTTTTTATATTACATTTTTTTATTGAATTTAAATAATTAGATATAATAGACAAATTAATGCATGCATACTTGGAATTTTAGCAAATCTATCCAAGACTTTTTTTATAATATAAAATTTTCGATAGAAATATTTCATCGTGCATTCTCAAATATTGTTACGATTATTGAAAAGAAACTGTATATGGTATTTTTCACCATGTTACGATTGATAATTTTACACTCGAAAAATTCGATTAAACATAAATTGGATGGTTCGATTTGTAATTCGCGACGAGTGCACACCTTTCTAATAACCGATCAAAACGTACAAACATTTCTAAAGAAAGCGATGAATGATTACATCTCTCACAACTGATGAACGTACGTATATATGTATTATTTCGAGAGCGAGGATATTATCTCTCAAATATAATACGTACACATTAGCAAGTTTTTTAATTCGATATATTGATTTTATGATTTTAAAATGAGCAATTAAAAGAAAGTTTATCTCGTTATTTTATTCAAAAAAATTTGTAAACGCTAATGAAACTAACATAGAAATTAAAAACATGTGATCTTTTCACATTGAGCATAAAACATTGATTAAAAATACGCGCTTGTATGTCTTATACTTCGTTTAATGAAAATTTTTTTTATTACTTAAAGAAAGAAAGAGAGAAACATTTTATACTAATATAATAATAATAATGAGATATTAAATCTGTTATTTTTGAAGTAGAAAAGCTAATTCCCTATAATTATAGATTAATTTAAAAAGTAATTTTTAAGAGAAATTTCAAGAATAATATGTGAAAAATTTTATATCTTCAGAAATGGGTTAATCTCACTTTTACTTTTCAATATCAATGTTTACATTAGAATAATTCTTAGAAATTGATATAATTATCCGATAATCTTGCTATTATTACAATAGCGATTATCAATTTTATTATTAACAATAATAATAGAATAATTAACAGGAGTAAATTACAAATGTATTAATATATTCTAAAACAATAAGATGATTTCCCAGGTAGCACATATTCGTTTAAAAAACGTTTCACAAATGTTTCTTTGAAACGTTCCAATTGGCTCTTGAAAACGTTTCTGATTGTTTAAAATGTCCATTCGAAAAACGTTAAGAAAAATGGTTTTTTTCTGATAAAGAACGTTTAAGAAACAATCGAAATATCGCTTAAGAAACGATTAAAATACTATTTTTGTATATATATATATCTGTGACAAAATTTTCTTTTTCACAGAATTATTAAAATAATGTATTCACATATATGTATACATACGTATTTTTTAAAATAAAGTTGAATAAATCATTAAAATAATGATTTTCTATAATAATTTATTCAATTTTAAAAAATGTATATGAATACGTAAATACATGATTTTATTATTAATTCCGTACAAAAGCGAACTTTTAAAAAACGAAATAAAGAAAATATTGTTCTTTTCTTCTTCTTCTTCTTCAAAAAAAAATATATTTATATAGATTAATACACTAACATTAGAGAAATATCATTTTACAATTTTCGCAACAGTTAACGAGATATTAATTACTAAAAATTGTCAAAAATTGGTATTCAATAATTTTTTACTCAAACACTATCTACTTTACAGAAAAACTGCAAGAGACAAAAATTGTTTATTTTCTTTTCATAGAACTCTAAGAATTTTTTCAGAATTTTTTATCAACTTTTTAGTATTGCATTTTTTTCTTATTTTTACCAACATACAAAAATATTAAAAAATTCTGGAAAAATTCTAATCTATGTATTAGATATATTACAATATGTACAGAGAATATTTCATAACTCATTATGTCATAGTCTGTCTTCGGTATAATATACGATCAGCTAAAATAATCATGTCTCGTCAGAAATTTTATGTTTCTACAAAATGACTTTATACTGAGATTCCACGTGTCAAGACTGATGGCTCTATAAAAACGTTATAGATACGGTTTATGAGAATATTTATGGAATTCAAAACACATACACACGCGTACTAAAATATCTGTTAGATATGTCTTTTAAAAAAGGATTATCTAGGTAAGCTCTTTTTATAAGATTATTTTTGGCATTACAGTAATTCTTTTTCATATATCAAATGTCCAGTATTTAATTAATGAACTGAAATTAATTACACTGAGAATCTCATCGCTCATGAAATAAATGAGTAGAATTCATATTTTTCATCCGAACTATATTAATTTCTTTAGCCCGTTTCTCTCGGAAAAAAGAACATTTCGTATATAATATACGATCCCTTCCATCTTAGTAGATTCTCACAAGAATATCAAATAGCAGGATCGTTTGCTTATCTCCTTGTGGTACGCCGCGCAAATAAAACGGCTCACCAATTTCGTATCAAAGAAACATAGGAGATGCTGGATAGAAACTTATTACTTTTTACTGTCGCGAAATATTGACGTAGTCGTCTTTCTGTTATCATCATCTACGAAAGTACTCGTATACGTCAAAGGAAAAAAAGGAAACTTCGTACCTTAAAGCAGATATATTATGGTTTGTCGGGACCTAATAACTTTCCTCATACCCATACGAATTTGTGAAAGAATGGTCATAAAATTATATGCCAGACGCTGAAGTATAACTTCATACGAAGCCGAAGAATCTTATATAAATATTTGACTAAAAAGATTTTACTGCAAACCCGAATTCCCTTTAAAACGAATCTTGACACAATATATGTAACAGAATTTTTAAATTCTAAGCGTCTTATGCGGGACGATTATTTCTATCGCTTGATTTTATAATGTGATTTTTTCAGGCGAATTTAATTAAAAAATTGTATTTCTTATAAAGATTATTATTCAATGATTTACAATTATTAACTAAATAATAACTTATTTTAAGAACGACATTTTACACTTGTATTATATCATTTCTCTATATGTGATTTATATCTTACCGAATACTATGACGAAGGTCATTTTTACGGTCTTGATTTTCGCCTTGGGAATGAGACCCCTCGAGGACGCCCTCCGAGTATCTCTGGTAGGTCCCTGACGTAGCGCTGCTCCTTGCGACCATATCGTGACTACGATGACCGTGTAACAGCCTCCTATTATCAGAGTGGGCGCTATAAAGAGGCTAAAACTCACCAGGCTCATGTAGATCTTCCATTGAGTCGGATCTAAATCGATCCAGCACTGCGGCGTATCCTAAAAATGATTGTTTGCGATTACGCTCGTCTTGTGAGCGCCAAGCTTTCAAATTCTTATCATTAAAAGAGCTTTTAAAAAAAAATGAGGAACGGTTGTGTATAATATGTTGATGCTTTATCTAGCAAGATATACATAATTTTTTTTATAGGTGTGTTGATACGCGGTTTTCAAAAGTGTAAGAATGTAAATTATAAGTAAGTAAATCGAAGACGACTTTTTTTCTTTAACAAAAATGTAAGGAAATGTCAAAATAGGTTTTTTTTTTATCGTTTCGATATCTATTTAACAAGAAAAAGAGAAATGGTCCTCCTCTAATTTTGATGAGCTTTTAATTCACATTTTTAGGGGGTGAAATAATTAGTTTCTTTCAAAGTAAATTTTTCATGAATAAAATACTTTTAAAACCGTTCAACTTTTATTACAAATTTTTTTTCATTTTTTATAGTTTCGACGATATTTGCTTAAAAAAAAAAAACTAACCAATTTTCTTCAAAGAGATGTTTCACCCTCTAAAAGTGTAAAAAAAATACATTTTTTATTTTGGCGGACAATAACTACTAAAAGCTTATTAAAATCGGAGGTTGATACTTCCTTGTGTTTCCTTGTAAAAAATACGTGTGTGTACCTGTATTTGTTTCTCTTCGTACAGGAATACAATCGGCATACTGAACAATGCTGATAATGCCCAAGCCGTAATCACCAAAGCTCGGGCTCTCCACCCTGCGATCAAAATTAATGCCTGTTAATAATAGATTATATTTCCAATTTTGTGATTAATAAATAAAAGGTATCACATATTTTTTTATGCTCAACGGATATTAAAAACGTAACCCGGGATTTTTATTTTTAATTTGTTTTTTATATAAACATTTTTTTTACGGAAAATTGACGCAGCATGTGCAACTTTGTATGCAATGTTATGAAAGAAGCGTAGCTATTTTCGTGAATGTCGGGTTTTACGTCAACTAGCGATTCAAAAAATCAAAAAGGAAAAGGTTCGTCATAGCGAACGGTGCTCATGACGAGTGGCGGAACCAGTTTGAAAAATTGAGACAAGAGTCTGTTACTGCTGTAATAAGCTTGAAACCTAAAATAGCGGTGTAGCATGATATGATTATAACATGCTACATCATTTATTTAACTTTTTGGTAACATAACGCAAAGAATGATCGATTACACGTCGATATCATATTATGACATGTTTTCGTTATTCTCATGAGTGTCATTTGTCTGTTATTTTCAACAACGTATAATTAGTAGCATCAGCAATTGTCTCGGTTTAAAACCGACATAAAAAGATATAACATGTATCATCGATACGAGTCCGTTAATCCTGCTACTATGTAATTACGATGTGCACGATTGATAATTATAAATCGTCGATAATTGGAAGAATGATCGCGTATAGAAATTCATAACATGATGGGTAAATCTGGAATTAAAGCGAATCTGATTGAATTATTGTAATAGTCCCGTGCTGATTAATCATGTTCTCTCATGTCTCTTCGATAATGCTACAGTTACTTTAATCTCTGTTTAATGACATATGTAACAAGCGTATGGTTTAACATTAACAGATTTAAATCTACCGCTTTAAAACCTGATTCAAATCGTAATTAAAATTTGCACGGATTAATACAGAATGCATAAAAAACAGTTTTGCTAAAATTGTTTAAACATTTAGTTGAATATAATTTTGTTAGGCCATCAAAATAATTACGCATAGGACGGTCAAGCTGGTTTTTTTTAATCGTTAAACGTTACATATTTTAATAAGTATAAACACATTAGTATCACGTTTTTATGATGTAGAATGATTAAAATTTTTTTTTAAACAAATTGGATTTGTTTTAATTTACAACGGTCCGTATAATATTGAAAATCGGGCTAATGGCAAAAATACTTTTGTATTAAAATCATCTAGTGATGAAGTACCGTGCGATAGTCGAGCGTGATTGGTTGTGTGTGTGTGTGTGTGTGTGTGTGCGTGTGGATTCTGACACTTCCCAATTTCTGTAATTCTAGCTATCAACAAGCCACAAGAATATCGATATATAGAAGGTAGAAGATAAATTTTATTCTGGTGCGGAATACCCGCCACAACGATTCGTGAGATGCCTCCGTGTGATAGACGATACGACTAAGCAGAAAGATAAGAGAACCTATCTTTTTCTTCAGCCTTTATCTTGTCACAAAAAGAAGCTAATAAAAAAAGAAAAAAGGAAGAAACATGCGCGATCTACAAAGTACGCGATATTAATTCTGAAAGGAACTGCGGCGAAGATATTATGTCACAGATCATGAAATAATCTGGCCGTCAATATTGATAGTGCCGCTACCGTTTGCAGCTAGGATATTTCTAAAGAAAGTCTCGGATAGATCGATTTTTATTACTTTTTACTTAGCTCTGTCGTAAGTTTCTTGAGCAAAGATAGGCGCATAGCGTATATCTGATATACGGAAGTCAAAGCAATTTCTTGACGGTAAATATGAATAGAATAGAGGAATCCGAAGGATATCAAAGTGATATAAGGGTGAGGAAGGGCACCCATACTGTGAGGTAAATTGCACTGTACAGGGGCGGATCCAGACATTTGTCAAGGGGAGGGGGCCATTGACGCGCCGCAAGCAAAATTTTTTCAAGTTTAAATATAAAATATGAGATATTTAAGTTACTATTGTCATATTACATTGAAAAGTACTATATAATTATATAATCCAGGAAACGTTTTATTTAAAATTATAAACATAAAAAGAATAATATATTTTATAATATATATATATACGCACAATAAAAAAAAAATATATATAACATTTTATAGCAAAATATCTAATTTACGTTTGTAGCGCGAACGAGTGGAAAATAAAAGCTGTAGCACAGATTTTAATCTTAATTTACTTACTTTTTGGAATATATAAAGGAATCTATATTTTTGTACTTAGAAGATTCTTAAAATAAAAAAATATTTTTGGAATATCAAAATCGTGATTAAGTATTTCAGAAATATTAAAAGTATGTATAACCTTTTGCTATAAATATTTTTAAAAAGGGAAACTCAAGGTGAGAGTGAATCCGCCCCTGACTCAGTATGTCGGCTGGCTGACAGATACTAATAGTCTTTGACTTGCTGTGAGCAACATTCGAAATCGCATATTGACGTATGAAATAACTCTGCTATCATACAGTTGTGATTAGATTGACGCGAAAATAGTGATCGACTATTCTATTCCTTTGTATTGATAATTATTGAAGATTTATATTTTTATTCATAAGGTTATACTTTTTATAAAATTATATTTTTGTTTTGCGTTTGCTTCAAAATTTATTTTTTTATTGATTTATATTCACGGAAAGGTCAATTTTATTGATATATACCTAAAAATTTATAAACAGATTTGATAATAATTTTGTTGAACCATTAAAATAATTAATAGGACGCTCAAACTGGTTGCTAGTAGGACATTAAAATTTTTTAAAGTATTGAATTATGCTTGAAATGTTTATATTTCTGATTATTTTAATAGTTCAACAAACTTATTTTTAAAGCTGTATCTAGCTAATTTTTTAGACTTTAACAAAATCGTTATTTCCGTGCATTTCATCTAATTTTCAGCTGTTTGAGCTGAAAATTTAAAATAATTTGTCTTCTTTTAATATATTTTATCCGGTTTACAAAATTTTTTTAGAATGCCTTCTTTTATACAGTAATGATAATTTAATGCATTAAGCTGTTAAGAATTTTTCTTCTCTCTCTCCCCCCCCCCTCTCTTTCTCTTCCTTTACTCATTTCAATTAAAGATTTTTGCTCGAAGATAGCCTTTTGACTTCGAGGTTGAACATTATTCATGTCTCAAGAGAATCTATATATTCTGAGTTTCAACTAAACTATATTAATGAGTTTAGCTCGAAGTACCGCTTTGTGAAGGGATCCAACATTAAAGGCTGTGATCATAATATGCGCGCTAATGTACTCACAGCTGCCGGAGAAGTTCATCGGACGGGTAATGGCGTCGTATCTGTCGATTGATAAAGCCACGAGGACGTAGGTCGAGCTGTAGGTTACTACGGCCTGCATAAACCTTATCAGTTTGCAAGCTATATTACCCGCATACCATGCAACAGTCGTTCTCCAGATTATATCCGTTAACACGGATATTAGGCCGACCAGTAGATCTGTAACAAGGTACACAACGACGAAATGTGATACAACGTTTACGAACGCATATTTACTAATCAAGATTATCAGTTAATGGGGCAGCTCTGTTTTCAATATTTTACATTTAGTCTTCGAGCCTAGACTTCGAGTATCCTCAAAAACACACAAGCGCAATACTCATTAATATTTCAGAAAATCTCTTCGTTCGAAATTAGACGGAAAGTTAATAGATCTACTTTGTGCATTTCATATTTTTTCTTCATTATTACAAGAATTAGCCATTAAATTCACAGAAACTTGCCGAAAATAATTTTCGCTAAAGAAAATATTGTACAAACCTTAAGATTATAACAAACTTATATAACCGTTATGTGAATTTTAAAGTTTGTCGGATATTAAGCGTAAGATTTTTGCAACCGTAGAGACGCCGTGCGACTCTTAACTAACTTGTGAAGACGCGTTTATGGAATAACACCTTTAACCGAGAAATAAACCTCCAGATACGTGATCAGTTTATAGCTCGTTTCGATATTTTACGTCATGTTGCTCTACTTTTATGCACGAGTAAAAATACGGAACATAAAATAAGATCAAACGTTACGTAATAATGCATTGGTAATTTCGACATTTCTGTACCGCAACATCTATATCATAAACGTCACAATAATAAGAAATTATTTCCAAACGACGTAAAATTTTTTCATAAAAATATAATCATGCCACGTATGTTCTGTAACGTTTTGTATCGCAAAAGATTTTTAAAAAGGTTATCTGAGTAAAATATAAAAATATATAAGGGTAAAAATAAGTTCAGTCTCGGTTATAAATATAAAGCATGATTCACAAATTGACGTATACGAAAAATAAATTAAAAAATAGTTTCATAGATTTTAATTTTATGAGCGAATTCTATGCTTCGTGGAAATTCTGTTAGATGTGGCATTACGAGTCGAAATTGAGCGGAAATGAAAGTGTATATATTAATTCAAGAAATAGAAGATGACACACGAAATGTCATACCATTTATTTTATACAGGGTAAGATTACTGTCATTGGAATGACGTCTTGATTAGATTTTTTAAGTATCTTAAAAGCTAAGCAAACTAGTGATGATCTGTTTACGTAGGAAGGTAATGCACATCTCCCCACAATTTTCAACGCAACAAGTTCCGCCGTGAGCGCTGTTACTAAATGATGTATGTCAACGTAAATTAGTCTTACAAAAATTTTATTTTACGCTGCAAAATTATTAAATTACCAACATAAATGCCAGATTTGTAAAATTATTGTATTTTTTTAGGTTTTGGTTACATAATATTTTTTATTTTAACATTTTTTAGAAAATATTGAAATTCTCGTAATGTTGTGCCGCGAGCGACACAAGGAACGCCGGAAATGGGAACCGGAAAAATCACACGAAGTGTTTTGCAAACGGATATAACTTTATTTGGAAAATATACTTTCATGTAAGGAAGTACCGGATATCCGGGAAGGATTGCTAGATATCCAGTTCTATATTTCTAAAAAATATGTCAGTGTAATGATAAAAGTTTTCAGGTATTCGTACCATTATACACATCATTTTAATGTAAGGTTTAATGTAAGGCCAAATATATTACCAGAAATCAGATATTTGGCAATCCTCAGATGTCCGATACATCCTTAGGCTGCATTCGCTTTACCGCTCACAGCGCTTGTGAGCATCAATTATCCTTGTTTAATATTTACTAAACAACAAGGATAAAACGATTCTTAAAGTGTTGTGAACGTCAAAGCGAACACAGCTTTAGTTCAAGTAGCAAAGATTCAGCCCTTTTATCTGCCCGAATTTATTTCGTAATAGTGATGAATTGACGTGTGTACATTGTGAATTGATTTGATGTACATTTCTAAACGTTTACCGATAATTGCATAGTAATAAAAATATATAAGAGCTGTATATTACATTTTTCAGATGATATTTTCCCTCTCACGGGTACACCTTGACGTGGTGAGAGGGCTCAGTACCCGGAGGATATACACGAAAAGAACGGTTTTTCTTAAGTATCTACAAATTTTTGGATCTATGAATCATATATCTAGTCAAATTTTTAGATATTTAATAAAATCTTTCTGTTCGTGTAAAAATCCAACGACGCGGAAGCTAACGTACCCTCGTCGCCGATTTAATTGAAAGTGAACGAACCGCAGCCGGTTCGTCGCGTCGCGCGTTTGCTTCGGGAGTGCCGTT